GGCGGTGTCCCCACCCCGGCGGGGCAGCCAGACCCCACCCCTGGCCAGGTGCTGTGCCAAGGTGCCACTGGAGCGGTGCCACCCGTGCTGGAGATAATGCCCACAGGGGACATGAGCAGAGCGGCCCTGCCCGTACAGCCAGGGTGTCCCGAGCCCCACGGGTCTGTCTGTGCCCTGTGCCCACCAGGGCCGTGGTGGGCACACGAGGCTGCCCACCCCTGCATCGCCCCCACGCCCTGTCCTGCCCCACTGGCATTTGGGGGCACCGAGAAGCCAGAACACGTGCAGGTGGCCCTGCCTGCCCCGGTGTCCCTGTCCCAGCTGGGCACATGTGGCAGTTGCTGCCCAGGGGGTGCCCAGCCCACAGCCGGGGATGCCAGGCTAAGCTCGGGGCAGAGTTCAGCCCTGTCACACACCAAGCTCGGGGGTCTCAGCACCGAGAGCACCGAGTGCTGCCCTCAGGGACAGGAGGAAAACCGACCCCAGCCGGGTGTGCCCCCGGGGCCAAAGCCTTGGGCCACCACGGGGGTCTCCAGGGCCAGGTCTGGGCCACCGGGACCTCGTGGGGGTGGCGTGGGGAGCGGCCGGCCGGGGGCCAAGGCGTTGGGAAACAAAGAGAAGCTGGAACTGGGATCATTTCCCGACCCAGCCGGAGCTTGCCCAGGCGGGATGGGGACACACCCGGATCCAGCCCCGCTGCCCCGGCGACCTCCGGACTCCGCGGGAGGGGCTGCGCCCAATCCGGCTGGGCTGGGGACCCTCCGGCCATCGTGGGGACAGCGAGGGTCCCAGTTACGGGGCAGCCACCCGGGGGTCTCCCGGGACAGCCTGGGCACCCCCGAGCTCTCTCCCGGGACTGGCAGGGAAAGCGCTGTACCCAGCCCCGCCGGGACCGAGCCACCCTGGCGACCCCCGAGACCCTCCAGTGCCACAGGAAGGAGACCACAACCCGCACGAGGCCACCCTGGGGACCCCGACACACCCCGGGGACAGCAGGGAGAGGCTGTGCCCAGGGCTCGACCACCCTGGGCTGCCCAGAGCCCCCCGGCGACAGCGGGGAGGGGACACCGGGGGGACAGGGCCACCCCGGTGGCGGCGGGGAGGGGACCGGGGCCAGCCCCGCGGGCGCGCCCCGGGGCTCCCCGCACGGCGACGGGCGCGGTCCCGCCGCAGCCGCTACCGGGGCGGGCGGGGGGGACACCCCGGGGGACACCGGGAGCGCCCCGGGGCTGGTGGCCGCTCCCGAGCCGGTCCGCATCTCCGCCCTGTCGCTGTCGCGGTCCGCATCTCCCTCCGGTGCCCGCGGCGCTCCGGGTGCCCGGTGCCATCCCCATCCATCACGTGCCCACCGGTGCCCGGTGCCCGCTGCCCGCCCCTCCCTACCTGCGGCGCCGGTCCCGCGCTCCCGGGGCGGCAGTGCCGGATGCCGCCGCCCGCGCCCTTTTCACGGCTGATGTCACCGGGACCGCCCGGCACCGCCCGCCCCCGGGGCGGGATCCGCCGGGCCGGGGCCGGGGCTGGGACCGAGCCGGCACCGCGCCCGGGGCAGCCCCGCCCCGGGAAGGGGACACGGGGGGGGGCACCGCGACAGGGTGGCCGTGGGGGGGACAGGGTGGGGACAGGGTGATCATGGTGGGGACAGGGTGGCCCTGGTAGTGACAGGGCGGCCGTGGTAGGGACAGGGCCGTCATGGTGGGGACAGGGTGGCCCTGGTAGTGACAGGGTGGCCGTGGTAGGGACAGGGCCGTCATGGTGGGGACAGGGTGGCCCTGGTGGCCAAGATGGGGACAAGGTGGCCGTGGTGGGGACAAGGTGGCCGTGGTGGCCCAAATGAGGACAGGGTGGCCACGGTGGCAAGTGGGCAGAGGGGTTGTGTGGGGACAGTGTGGCTTTGGTGGCCGAGGTGAAGATGGGGTGGCCCTGGTGGCAGGGGGATACAGTGGCTGTGTGGGGACAGAGTGGCTGTGGTGGCCCCGCTGGGGACAGGGTGGTCACAGAGGGGATACAGGGGTTGTGGGAGGGACAGGGTGGCTGTGGTGGCAGGGGGACACGTGGGCTGTAGGGGACAGGGTGGCTCTGGTGGCCACCATGAGGATGGAGTGGCTGTGGTGGGGACAGGGTGACAGGGATTGTGGCAAGGGCAGAGTGGCTGTGGTGGCAGGGGGACACGGGGACAGGGTGGCTGTGGTGGCAGAGGTCAGGATGGGGTGATCAGTGTCACACATGGTGGCTGGCTGTGGTGGCTGAGGTGAGGACAGTGACTGTGGTGGCAGTGCCACACAGGGTGGCTGTGGTGGCTGAGGTGAGGACAGTGGCTGTGGTGGCAGTGCCACACAGGGTGGCTGTGGTGGCTGAGGTGACAATGGGATGGTTGGGGTGGGGACAGGGTGGCTGTGGTGGCAGAGGGGACACAGGGACAGTGTGGCTGTGGTGGCTGAGATGAGGATGGGGTGGGGCCTGAATGGCTGCAGTGGGAACAGGGGTGACACAGGGGACACAGGGACAGTGTGGCTGTGGTGGGGACAGCGTGGCTGCAGTAGCAGGGACAGAGTGACCATGATGGGGACAGGCCCCTCTGAGGACTTAGGTGGGGGCAGTGCTGTGGTGACAAAACCTCTCACGGTGGCTGTGCTGGGGACAATCCCCACAGTGGCACGTGGTGGCTGCCAGGACCCTGCTGTGATGGCGATGGGGACAACCAGGGCCTGGCTCTGGTGGCAGCTGGGGGACAGCTGGGGCTCGGGGAGGGAGGTGGCCTGGCCAGCAGCGTCGTGTCCCCAGTGGCGTTGGCACAAGTCCCGTCTCCATGGCGAGCGCCACCAAAACAACAAACAAAGCCGGGCCCGAGGCCACCGCTGCCGGAGCAGGGCCACTGCTGCAGTGTCCCTGTCACCCCACCCACCCCGGCAGCCAGATCAGCACCCGCCGTGCCCAGCTCAGCTGTGGTGCCACCAGGGCTCAGCTGGCATGGCACTGTCACTCTCTGGTGCCACCAGAGCTCGGCTGGGCTGGCACTGTCACTCTCTGGTGCCACCAGAGCTGGGTTAGGATGGCACTGTCACGCTGTGGAGCAGCCCAGAAGTGTCCCCTCGCCCTCTCTGGGTCCCTCCTGCACCCATGGGTGCCACAGGGTGGGGTGGCTTTACCCTCCAAGGGCTGTGGGTGTCCCCTGGGGATCTCGGGTGGTGTTTTCTGTGGCTTTGGGGACGTGGGTGGGGGACCCGTGCAGGAGGGAGCAGGGCAGGGAGTGACACGGGGTGACCCATGGAACAGGGGTGACATGGGGGGACAAGGTCAGGGGGTGACAGAGAGGTGCACAACAGGGGTGGGGTTAGGGGTGACACAGAGCAGGACCTAGGGGTGACAAAGCAGGAGACTGTGGGGTGACACAGGGGACAGGATGCACTGGGGGTGGCCCAGGGTGACACAGGGGACAGGACATAGGGGTAACAAAGCAGATTTAGGGGTGACACAGGGGTCAGGACCCACGGGGGGGGTGGCCCAGGGTGACACAGAGCAGCAGCAGGACAGTCCCAAGGAACCTGGGTGACACTGGGGCACAGCCTGGGAGGTCTCAGCCAGGGGACACAGGGGGCAATTTGGGGACAGGACCCCCAGAGGGCACAGGGGGGTTGATAGAGCAGACACAGCAGGGAGGGGACACTGGGGACAAACTCGGGCAGGGACAGAGGGCAGGATGAGGGGCACACACAGGCAGGGCAGGGGGCACGGTGTGATGTGGGCAGGCCAGGGGACAACGGGCAGCAGGCAGGGGGACATGGGGGGGGACACCGAGGGACAGGGGTGGATGTGATAGGGGGACACGAAGGGAACATGGGGGGACATGAAGTGGGCGGGGCAAGGGGACACGGGAGGAAATAATAGGGGACATGAGGGGACATAGCAGGGGGACACGGGGGGATGTGGCAGGGGGACACAAGGGGACATAAGGGGGAACATGGGGTGGGCGTGGCAGGGGGACACAAGGAGACACGGGGGACATGGCAGGGGAACACAAGGGGACAAGAGGTGGGCGTGGCAGGGGGACACGAGGGGACATAATGGGGGGACATGAAAGGGGGACAGTGGGGGGGGTGACCAACGCCCGTGACCCGACGCGACCCGCGCCGCAGCCCACGCGCGACCCCGCGGTGACGTCATCGCCTCTCCCCGCCCCCCCGGTGACGCGCTCCCGCGCCGTGGCCATATAAGGGCATGAGCGCGCGGGCCACGCCCCTCCCGCGCGCGCGGGGCCGCCGCCAGGCCCCGCCCCCCCCGCGAGGGAGGGGGAGAACCGAGACGGGGAGGGGGGGGACACCGGAACGGGGAGGGGAGGGGGAAACTGAGGAAAGAGGGAGGGGACAGGGACATGGGAGAGGGGACAGGAGTGGCGGCCACCCGCATGAGATGGGGGGGACACTGAGGAGATAGCGGGAAAATCCGATGGGGGGACACGGAGGAGATGGGGAGAAGATGGGGGGACACCCCGAGGGAGGAAGATGAGGAGAGACATGAGGAAAATGGGGCCATGAGGAAAATGGGGGGGACATCACAGAGCAATTCGCGGGGGGACACGAGAAGATCGGGGGTACCAAGAGGATTGGGGGGGTATCAGGAAACGGGGGGGTACCAGGAGGATTTGAGGGGTGGGATTGATAGGGGGAGGCCGGGAGGATGAGAGCAGGGAAGGGGAAGCTGTGGCCAGGGGATGAGGAAGATGAGGACACAGAATGGGGGAGCCGGGACGAGGTGGGAGGGGGACCCCGAGAGGGTGGAGGGGGTCGTGGCAGAACCCGGGACGCCTCGGGGGTCCCCCCGCCAACAGGAGCCAGAGCTGCTCTCACGCCTCTTTATTCCCCCCCCGCCCATCCTTTCCCCCGGGGGGTCCCGGGGGTCCCTACTCCTCTTTAGAGCAGCGGCAGAGTGCTCTTGACAGTGTTCCCCCAGAGTCAGCCTACCCCGCCACTGCCAGATGGTGCTCACATCAAGTGCACTGCTCTCACGCCTCTTTATTCCCCCCCCCCCGCTCATCCCTTCCCCCGGGGGGTGCCGGGGGTCCCTAGAGCAGCGTGGCCACCTCGAAGCGCTCGGAGCAGCACCCGCGGGTGCCCACCCTCTGCCGCCGCTGCTGGACCCCCTCCCTGCGGCGCCGCGCCCCCAACCCCTCGGGACGGGGCGTCTGGCCGCGCTCCTGGGGACCCCCCGTTCCCAACGCCTCCGCCGACACCGAGCTCACCGGGGCCGAGCCGGGCTCTGCGGGGAGATAAGCAGCGTCCGTGGCAGCCGCCGGGGCGGCCACGGGGCTGCGGGCACGGGGGCGGGGGGGCCGCACTCACGGTGCCGCTGCAGGTCCCGCAGGGCGATGGAGGAGCCGGGCCGGGCCGGGGCCGCGCCCCGGTAAAGCTGCAGCGCCTCCAGGAGCTCCGACTCCAGCGCGAACTCCGCGTCCCACTCGTAGTTCTCGTCCACCGAGGTGTTCCTCCTGCGGGGAGGGGGCGAGGGGCACGGCCCGAGGGGGTGAGAGCCCCGGGATGGGCTGCAGGGGAGATCCCAAAAAGAGAAACCCTGGGCATGGGCTGCAGGGGAGATCCCAGAAAGAGAAACCCCAGGGATGGACTGCAGGGGAGATCCCAAAAAGAGAAACCCCAGGGTTTCTCCCCGGAAAAGAGGATGTGTGTGAAGCCCTGGGGATGGGTAGGAGAGATCAGGGCAGACCCTGAGGTGTCAGATGCCAGGGATGGGCATGAGACCCCCAAGGTGAATGCCAGGAGAGACCCCAAGGCACGGGTGCCCCGGGATGGGTGTCAGGGGCAGATGCCAAGGTCAGATGAGTACCAGGGGCACCACCCCGAGGGATGTGGGGACACGGCAGGGATGCTGGGGGACAACGGGGATGGTCTCCCAGGACAGGGACAATGGGCAGGGGGGCGTCCCCGGGGCACTGCCGGGCTGGGAGGCAGCCAGGTGGCTCCGTGCCAGGCCAGCCCATGCCAGCTGGGTGGGACAGGCCCGGAGCTGCCCCGGCACGCTCCGGGAGCTCATCCCGGTGCCCTGCCCACGGCTCACCTCTTCCCGGCGCCAGCATCCGTCCTGCCCCGTCCCTCCTCCGCTGCCGAGCCCCCACTGTGCCAGCTGCCCCCGTCCCCGACGGGGGTGCCCAGGAAGGTGCCCCCCAAGGACGGTGCCAGCGAGGGGGGCCGCAGGAAGGAGCCGCTGCCCCGGCCGCTGCTCTGGCTGGTCAGGCTGCCCCGCGGGAGCTTCTCCGGGGCTGCGGCGTCCGGCGGCCGCCCCGGGGCCTCAGTCCGGAGATGTGGGGCCGGCTGGGGGGGCGGCCCGGGGCTGGGGGAGCGGGGCCAGGAGGGGGAGCCGGGCAGAGAGGCCTTGGCGGGGCCCACGGGCAGCCGGGGGGGCTCAAGGAACGCGGCGGTGGCGGGAGGGGAGGTGGCGTTGGCACTTGTGTCGATGCAGTCCGGGCACAGCGTCCGCCCCGAGCGCGGGGGGCTGGCGGGGGGCTCCGGGGCGGCGCCGGCATTGGGGGGCTCCCCCTGCTCCTCCGGGGGGGGCCAGTCGCCGTCCACACACATCTCCTTGAAGAAGGGCAGGCTGAGGTACTGCAGGATGCCGCTGATGGCCGGGGGGCCGGGGGACACCGGGGGGCTGCTGGCCGGCTGGGGGGAGCCCCGGCGGGGCGGTGAGTCCCAGGGGGGGCCGCGGCGGGGCCGGGGGGGCTCCGGGACGGCGCTGTAAGGCAGGGTGGCGGCGGCAGAGGCCACGGGGCTGACGTCGGTGATGCTCAACGCCACGGTCTCGTCCACGGGGCTGCTGCTGCCGTAGCCGAAGTAGCGGCCGTGCCGGTGACCGGAGGCGCGGGCGCCCCGGCGGGGCTGCCCCGCGGGCTGGGGGCGCAGCGAGACCCCCCTGTGCCACACGGGCTCGTCGTCTTCCTCTTCCTCCTCATCCTCCTCGTCCTCCTCGGCGGGCAGCTGGCGGTAGGGCTGCAGGGGGTCCCGCGGAGGCTCCGGCTCCGGCCGCGGCTCGGTGTCCAGCACGAAGCGGCCGTCGGGGCCGCGGCAGATGCGCTCCAGCGGGACGTGCTCCCGGCCCTGGCTCTCGTAGGCGGGGTAGCGGGAGCCGGCGATGCTCAGCCCCAGGCTGGTGCCGGCTTTCTCGCCCCACAGCAGGCTCCGGTGCAGGCTCCGGCACGGCGACGGCTGCAGCTTCAGCCTCAGCGTGCTGGCAGGGCTACCAGGGCCACGAGCATTGCTGCAAGGGAGAGGCAGCAGCTGCAGCACCCCCGGCCGTGCTGCCACGCCCTGCTCCTGCATTTCCTGAGCTTTTCTCCAGCCAAAACTGCCCAGAGGGAGCACGCCAGGGGAGCACCCCGCTCCTAACGCCCTTAGGCAGTGGCAGCAGCGAGTAGCTGTCCCCAGCCTGTCCCGGTGCTGAGGGAGACAGGGAAAGGGACAGGGATGGAAACATGGCATGGCCAGGAGTGGCACAGGGGGGGAGAGGGATGGAGGGGAGAATAACATCGAGAGAGTGGGAGAGGGAGGGGAGTGTGGCACGGCCAGGAATGGGATGAGAGGCAGCAGGATGTGGGGGAGTGGAAACCAGAGGTGTGATGTGGCAGGAGTGGGACAGGGAGGGAATGGGATGTGGAGGAGCAGGGCATGGCAAGAGAGGGACAGGGAGGGAGTGTGGCATGGCATGGCATGGCATGGCATGGCAGGAACGTGGCATGGTGGGAGTAGGACAGGAAGGGAACAGGAGGGAGGGACCATGGCAGTGACATGGCAGGACAGGGAGGGAATGGGGCATGGTGGGAGCAGGACAGGAAGGGAGTGGGATGGAGGGAGCATGGCAGTGACACAGCAGGACAAGGAGGGAGCGTGACAATGGCGTGACTTACTGTAGAGGTGGAAGCTTCTTGCTGGGGGAGAAGACGAGTGGTGGATCTGGAAGGCCATGAGAACACAGGGGGATCACACGGCGAGCAACTCAAAACGTGATGAGGAGGAGACGGCGGCACCCACTCGGTCCCCCCCAGGCTGGCCTGTCCCTGTCCCTGTCCCCGGGTACCTTGGCGGCGCTTGCGGACGCGCGCGGCGCGGCGCCGGTTCATGATGCAGGCGGCCATGGTGCTGAAGATGACGGCCACGCTGAGGAAGCAGATCCCCCCGATGACCCCCGCCAGCACCGGCTGTGGCAGCAGCTCGGGCAGCTGCGTGCGGGACGGGTACACCTCCATCCCTGCCACACACAGGGCACCCCGTCAGGCTGGCACAGCCCCCTGGTGTCACCAGCATCACGGGGACACAGGCTCAGCTCTTGCTCTGCCCTTGGGGGGACCTGTGCCCCCCAACATGGGCACCAGGAGAGAGGATGCTCTGGTCCCTGAGGCTGAAGGCACTCTGGCTGTTGCCCCCTGGTCCTGCTCTGGCCATGCCCCCAGTTTATCAGCAGGGCCAGCTGGGTGGGAGCAGCATGAAGGGGCTTCTCCTTTGGGAATTTGGATGTTTTCCACCTCAGGTTTCTGTCCCTACGTGGCAGCCCAGCCTTACCTGCCGTGGACACGTTCACCGTGTTGCTGGGGTCGCTGATGTAGCTGCCAGCAAAGGCCACCAGTCGGAACTCGTAGAAGGCGTCCTGGGGAGGGACACAGGGCCATCAGCACGCTGCCACAGCGGCCACCGAGCCCTAACCCAGGCAGACCTCACCTTGATGAGCCCTGGCACCAGCACCTGGGTGTCAGTGCCGGGGATGGAGCGCTCCAGCACCTCCCAGCCGCCCTTGTCCTGCCGCAGCTCCAGCGCGTACCCGCTCGGGGCCACCGAGGCACGGGCAGGGGGGTCCCAGCGCAGCAGAACCCCCCGCACGGTCTCGTTGGCCCTCAGAGCCCGGGGTGGGGACAGGAAGACGTGCACGGTCATGGCTGGTGGCTCCGGAGGCACTGTGGTCACTGGGAAGCCTGGGGAGAAAGCAGAGGTTGGCACGAGGCGGGAACGGGGGCACCGGGGGTGTTTTGAGGAGCTGCCCTCACCCCTGGGCACGGAGGTGACGATCTGGCTGAAGGGGCCACTGCCCAGCTTGTTCTGGGCCAGGACGCTGAACTGGTAACTGGTGTCTGGCTGCAGGTTCTCCACCAGAAGGTGCTGAGCCCCCGCTGGCACCGACAGTGACACCCAGTCGTGGTGTGCCCGCGGTGGGTACCTCACCCTGGGGACAGGAGGGACACGTGAGAGGGAGCCGAGGCTCCTGAGGGGGGCACACAGCAGGGGTGGGCACTCACAGAGGGGTGTACCAGACGCTGAACCTCTGGAAGTAGCCTCCATCAAAGCCTGGCTCCCAGGAGATGTTGGCTGCCAGCAGCAGTGGGAGCACAGAGACGTTGGTGACAGCGTGGGGACTGGTACCTGGAGGGCAGAGTGTCACACTGGGGGGCTTGGACCACCCCTTCCAGCACATTGCCCACCCTGAGACCATCCCAGTGACGGGCAGCTCACCCAGTACGTGGACAGAGGTGGCAGTGGTGACACTGGCCACCTGGTTGGTGGCCCTGCATTCCCAGACTCCATGCTGCTCCTTGATGAGGGGGTGGAGGACGAGGCTGCTGTTGCCATCCACCTGGGCACTGCTCTTCCCCACGCTGCCCACCTGTGGGGCACAGACACGCTGACAGGGGGCCACCACCAGCCTGCCCCCTGTGACACTGCCACGCTGGGGACCAGGGGACTTGAAAAAGGGGACATGGCCCCCCACCATGGGGCTGGTTTGGAGACCAAGGGGCAGGGTTTTGCCAATTTTTTAGAGGACAGACAAGCAAAGTGACCTCAGGTCCTTCAGGAACCGTGTGATGGGAGCCCAGTTTAGGATGGGACCCAGTGGGGACAGGAACACTGCCCAGGAGTCACACAAGCCCAGAAATTATGCCCTGGAGGTCAAAAGCAATCTCTGTCCCCGTGAGGGCCCAGCTGACCCCCCAAAAGAGCAGCCCCTACCTTCACCCAGGTGATGGTGGGTGGGGGATCCCCACGAGCCACACAGGGGATCACCAGCTCCCGGCCCACCTCCTGGAAATATTCCTCCTTGGGCCGCACCGTGAAGGCAGGAGGGTCCTGCAAGGCAGAGGGGCAGTGTAGGGGAGCTTGGCAGGGGGTGCAGAGCCAGGAGGGGACCCCGAGGGGCTGCTCACCTTCAGCAGGACGCGGGTGGGCCGGGACTCGCCGGCCGTGCCGTAGCTGTTGTAGGGCGTGCAGCGGTACAGCCCCAGAGCATCGTCGTTGCCCGTGGCGATGACGATGGAGCCGTCGGGCCGCACGGACCAGCCGGGGAGCTGGGAGAGCAGCAGGAGGGATTTGGGAAGGTGGGAAGGGTGGAGGGAGTGGGGAATGGGTGAGCAGGAGGGATTGAAGGTGGGAAGGAGCTGGAATAGGGGAATGGGTGAGCAGGAGGGATTGAAGGTGGGAAGGAGCTGGAATAGGGGAATGGGTGAGCAGGAGGGATTGAAGGTGGGAAGGAGCTGGAATAGGGGAATGGGTGAGCAGGAGGGATTTGGGAAGATGGGAAGGAGCTGGAATAGGGGAATGGGTGAGCAGGAGGGATTTGGAAAGGTAGAAAGGAGCTGGGAGTGGGGAATGGGAGAGGAGGAGGGATTTGGGAAGGTGGGAAGGGTGGTGGGAGTGGAAGTGGCCGCACCGAGCAGCCGGGGAGCTGGGAGAGGGGAATGGGTGAGCAGGAGAGATTTGGGAAGGAGTTGGGAGTGGGGAATGGGAGAGGAGGAGGGATCTGCGAAGGTGGGAAGGGTGGAGGGAGTGGGGAATGGGTGAGCAGGAGGGATTTGGGAAGGAGCTGGGAGAGGGGAATGGGAGAGAAGGAGGGATCTGGGAAGGTGGGAAGGAGCTGGCAGAGGGAGTGGCCGTACCTTGGACCAGCCAGGGAGCTGGGAGAGGGGAATGGGTGAGGAGCAGGGATCTGGGAAGGGCCGTGGGAGTGGCCCTACCTTGTCCAGCTCCAGCGGGCGCCCGTCCCTGGTCCAGGTGACGGAGAGCAGGGGGGGGTTGGCCCTGGAGGGGCAGCGGATCACGCCCCGCATGCCCTTGGGCAGGTGAGTCTCCGGGAGCATGGTGGTCACCTGCGCTGGGTCTGCGGGGACACACGGGGCTGGGGTCCCCACGGGGCACCCCTGTTCCCACCACAGCCCCCCAGCAGGGCCCCCCACGGCCCGGGAGTGCAGGAGGGGGTCTTACAGAGCACTGTGACGAAGGCTGAGGCAGAAGGTGGCTTCCAGAGCCCGTTGCTGGGGGTGCAGGTGTATTTCCCAGCGTCGTCCGGGGTCGTTCGCTGCAGCAGGAGACTCCCGTCCACCAGGACACGGACCCGAGCCTGGAGGTGGCTGGCAAGGGATGGCACAGCAGGGAGTGGCACAGCTGGGACTGTCCCTGCTGCCCTGCAGTGGTGGATTTGCCCCCAGCACACACCCAGGCTGTCCCTGGCACTCGGGGCAGGTTTGGGGGCACAGCTGCCCCGGTGCTGTCCCCGTTGCTGCCGTACCTGAGGTGGAAGACGTTGCTGCTGCCCTGGAACCAGGTGTAGGTGAGGTTCCCTGGGTATGCCTCAGCCTGGCACGCCAAAAAGGCATCTTGGGAGATGTTGACGGTGACGTTCTGCGGTGGCACCACGATGATGGGTGGCCCTGGGGTGACGGGCAGTGAGGGCTGGGCACAGCTGCTCCCAAAACCAACCATGCCATGGCTCCCTCTGTGTGCCCAGCCCACGGGCAGGGCTGGGGACCCCCTGTCCTTACCCTGCACGAGCACACGGGTGGTGTGGGTGACGGTGCCCTCCTTGCTGGAGGCGTGGCACGTGTAGGTGCCCGCGCTGGCACGTTCCACGGTGGCAATGTTCAGCGTCCCGTTGCTCACCTGCAGTGGCACCAGCTGTGGCACGGCCACCAAGGGACAGCGACCTGCCCCGTGAACCGGGTGGTGGCAGCAGGGAGGGGCCACCACAGTGGGGATGGGCACCAGAGGCTGGCCACACCCCACAGAGGGGTGACATGGGGGTTGTCACCCTCACCTGCACCGTGTCCCCGCTCTGGACAGGCAGGTCACTCCTCTTCCAGGTGACAACAGGCTGGGGGTTGCCGACAGCCCTGCAGGTGAGGCTCAGTGCAGCCTGGTCCCGCACCTCTACGAACGCAGGGGGCGTCTCCAGGAAGGTGGGAGGTGCTGGAAGGCAAATGCAGATCCAAACCCTCACCCTCAGATCTGGCTCAGCTCAGTGTGGAAGCCCAGCGTCTCCAGTGCCATGCCTGGGAGACGTGGGCAGAGCAGCGGGGGGTGGGACGGGCCGGTACCGTTGACGGTGAGGTGGATCCAGGTGCCGTTCTGGAAGTCGGCGTCGGTGCTGTGCCGGTCGAGGAAGAGCACCCGGCACTCGTACCAGCCCTGGTCCTCGGCACGCAGCAGGTCCAGGCGCAGCGAGGCACCTTCCTCCAGCCGCACACGGCCTGTGCCACCGGCAGCGGCTCAGGGACAGCCGCGTCCCCGGGCCACCCCCTCCTCCGGGCCACCCTCCCCCCGGGGCCACCCCTCTCCCGGGTCACCCCTCCCCTGGGGCCACCCCTCTGCCAGGTCACCCACTCCCTGGGGCCACCCCTCTCCCGGGCACCCCCTCCCCGGGTCACCCCTCCCCAGGGCGCCCGCCCACGCTGGCACCGCGGGGGGCTGGGAACGGCGGTGCCAGAGGTTGGTCACAGCGACACTCAGCACTGCACAGATGGGTGACACGGAGAGCAGGCGACAGTGGCTCCGTCACCCGCCCTCGCGCAGGGTGGCCTCGGCGGGGTCCCCCCGCACGGCGGGTCCGCGCACTTGGAGCATCGCTCCCAGCGGCCGGGCAGGACTGGTCCCAGTCCTGGACCCCTCCCCCGACCCCTTTTCCCCCTTCCCGAGGACTCTCCCTCCCCCCGGAGCCCCCCCGGCGCTCTCACCCTTGGGAGCTCTGCTAAGCCCCGGCACCCCCGCGGCACGGGGGGGTCGCGGTGAACCCCCGCCCGCCTCGCTGCAGCTTCCCGGGGGGACACGGCGGCCGGGGCTCCCCCAGGCCGTGGGGTCCTCGCCCCGCGCCAGCCCCGCGGCCTCTTTGATGAGGAGAGGGATAAGGGCCCAAGCGAGAGCGAGCGCAGCCCGTTAATCCCCCGGGCTATTTATTATCAGAGCCATAATCGGCTCAGGGTGCAGCGAGCAATTGGCTCAGCCCAGGCCGGGGTGCGCGGCCAGCGGCCCCCAAGGAACGCACCGGCACCCCCTGGCCCGGGCACCCACCACCCTGGGCATCCCCTTCCCCGGGCACCCACTGTCCTGAGCATCCACTTCCGTGGGTACCCACCACCCTGGGCATCCCCTTCCCCGGGCACCCACTGTCCTGAGCATCCCCTTCCCTGGGCACCCACCATCCTGGGCATCCCCTTCCATGGGCATCCACTGCCCTGAGCATCCCCTTCCCTGGGCACCCACTATCCTGGGCATCCCCTTCCCCGGGCATCCACTGTCCTGAGCATCCCCTTCCCCGGACACCCACTATCCTGGGCATCCCCTTCCCCAGGCATCCACTGTCCTGAGCATCCCCTTCCCCAGGCACCCACTATCCTGGGCATCCCCTTCTGTGGGCATGAACTGCCCTGAGCATCCCCTTCCGTGGGCATCCACTGTCCAGGGCACCCACCATCCTGGGCATCCCCTTCCGTGGGCACCCACTGCCCTGAGCATCCCCTTCCCCAGGCACCCACCATCCTGGGCATCCCCTTCCCCGGGCACCCACCATCCTGAGCATCCCTTTCTCTGGGCATCCACTGTCCTGGCCATCCATTTCTCTGGGCACCCACTGCCCACAGCACCCTTTCCCTGGGCATCCATCCTTCCCTGTCCCCCCGGGCACGCCCTGCCCCGGCACTGTCACCCAGGGCACGCCCGGGCCATGCCAGGTGACCTTGCTCCCGGGACACCACGGTAGGGACGCGGCACCGGCAGCACCGGAGCAGCCCACGGTGCTCCATCAGCATCCCAGGACCCGCAGCTTCCTGAGACCTTCCCAGCACGGGAAGTTTTGGGGAGCCCCGCTGCCAGCCCCACCCGGTGTCACAGACAGTCCCCACGCAGTGCCCGGGGCACCGGATCCCGGCTGGCACCGCAGCGGGGTTGGGATTCCGTGTCCCGCCAGACGAGCCCGGCAAGGATGAGGATGAGGAGGAGGAGTGGCAGGAGCCGGGCAGGCGGGTTTGGCACCGAGATCCACCCTGAGCCGCGCGAACCCCGCACACAAACACGTGCAAACCTTTCCCGCAGCGCCCGGAGCTGTTTCCCACCCCTCTGCCTCCACCCCACAGCTGTGGGACGAGGGGTCCGCCAGCCCTGGGAAGTGGGACAGCTCTGGGAAGCTCCGGGAAGCTCTGGGAAGCCCCAGCAGCTGCCAGCCCCCAGCCCCAGGCACGGCGGGAGCAGCCGGCTCCCGAACAAAGGTCCCTTTGGAAGGGATCAGAGCGGCCTGGGGACGCCCCTCGGCCTCCCCCTAATCCCCCTGTGCAGGCCCCAGCCCCCTCCTCCTCCTCCACCGCCCTGCAAAAACAAAACCCTGTGGCCCAGCATCCCCCCGCGCCTGGCAACCGACATTCGGCGGGACACAAAGGGGGGACACAAAGGGGCTGCAGCCCCCGCCACGCGGCCAGAGCCGGGGAGGAGGGGGCTGAGCCAGGCCAGAGACCACCGACCCCGTTTTAGGGCAGGGGACACCGCGGGTGGCGGTGGCACCCAAGGCAGAGCCGACCCCATCCCATCACGGAGGCAGCTGCAGCCCCCCCGCCCCGATGTCCCCAGGAGTGGCACTGGTGACAGCAGTGGTGACACCTGATCTGATCCACCTGGGAAGCGCCGGGCAGAGGGGGCTGGCATCGCCCTGCACCCACCTCCCTGCCCTTCCCGGCCGATGGAAAACAAGCCGCCCCGCTGCCATGGCGACGGCCGCCAGCCCCCCTGCCCACCCAGCTCGCCCTCATTCCAGCCGCCAGCCCCTTCCCCCCGCGCTGATCCCGATCTGCTCCCGCTGCCCCCGGGGGCGAGGGGACACGGGGGAGGGGGCACCGCCAGCTCCTCGCTGCGTAACCGGAGCCGCGGCAGCCCCGGGGCCCCTCGGCGCTCAGGTAACAGGAGCCCAGCCCTGGCCTCTCCCGGCAGAACAGGTGCCTTGTCCTGCCCGCGGGGTTCATTGTCACCGCTGGTGACAACACCTCTGGTCCCCCAGAGCCAAGGCGGAGCTGCTGAAAGCATCGCCCAAAATCCACACCTCACGGGAAGGGGCAGCAGCAGAGTGGGTGTCCCGACCGAGGTGACTTTTAGGCAGGGGACAATCCTGGCAGCAGGGTTTGGGTTGTGATCCGGCCTCCCGAGGAAGGGTCGGAGCACGGATTTTGGCACAGAACGTCGGGGTTGGGCTCAGCCCAAATCACCCACGGGCTGCCAGCCCTCCCCGTGCCCGGGGGACACGCCTGTGGCTCTCCCCTCGTGCTCGCAGGGATCCGCTGGCTGGGATTCCTCCAGCTCTGCCACCGCTCACTTTAAATACCCGCTAAAGCAGCGAATATCCCCCTCCCACGCCCAGCCCGTCCCCGGCCCAGCTTTGCTCCAATTAGCAGCTCCCCCCAAATCCCCTCCCCAGCCTCAACCTTCAGGCGACCCGCAGCCCCCGGGCAGCCCGGTGGCACCGGCGGGGCTCGGCCGTTCCACCCTGCGGGAGATGCCCCAGCAGCCCCGGGTGGGCTGGGGGGGCTTCTCCCACATTTTACCCTGTGGGGATCCCTCCCGCTGCCAGGCTGGGCAGGATCTGCATCCCCTCTGCCAGCCGGGCACCCCCACCCCTGCTGCCGTCCCGGGCATGGGGATTGGCACTCACCTGCTGCAGGGACCTCCCTGGGCCCCCGAGACCCCCCAGAAGAGCCCCCCACTTCCCCGGGAGTGGGATTAAGGTGGTCCAACACCAGCAGCACCCGGTTTGACCCAACCGGGGGTCCCGGGAACCCCCGCCCGCCACTCACCCGCGTACTCGGGGTCCACGCGCGGCGAGTAGAGCCCGAACTTGATGAAGATGGGGAGGACGAAGCCGAAGCGGACCCACTCGATCACGTAGAGCGGCGGGCGCGCCTCGTGTGCGCCCAGGAGCCCGCAGCCCAGCACCGCGCTGCCCCCGACGCGCCCCACCACGGCCCGGGGCTCGCTCCGGCCGCTGCCTGCGGGAGCGGCACCGGGCCGCGGGTGAGACGGGACACGCCGGGACGAACCGGGACACACCGGGACACGCCGGGATGAACCGGGACACACCGCGACTCTTCCCCTGCCCACGGAACCTCCCGCCCCCGCCTCTCCGGGAGCCGGCGCTGGCCAAACCGATCCCACCGCGACGCACCGCGACGCACCGGGACACACCGGGACACACCGGGACACACCGGGACACACCGGGACCCTCCTCCCGCCCCCGGA